TTTTTTTTTTTTTTTGGCGGAACCGGGGATTGAACTCAGGCCCTTGCACTTGCCAGGGAAGCGCTTATTCCACTGAGCCATATCCCTGGCCCTCATTAATATCTTTGAAAATGCAATTCTCTGCTTTTTTTGTTGCATTGGCTAAATGGCCATGGTTCACAAAGTAAGGATCTTAACTGGCTTTACCATGGCCACAGCCACAGGCGGCAGGAGGCCCAGGGCACCCTCCCATCCCCGCTTCAGCTCGCTAAGCCCCCGAGACTCTGTCACCATGCATCGTCCTCCCAAGAGGCCTCGACCGGACAGACTCAGCAGGGTGTGTGACCCCACTAAGTCCTGCACCACCACACTCTCTGCTATATTTTACTTTATTATTCTCTTATTTATTAAAACTGTTTTGTTGATTCTCACCCACTACAAGGCAATGAACTATTTATTTTTTCTTTTTGAGGCAGTTTCTCACTATGTGGTTCAGGCTAGTTTTGAGCTCACTGTGCAGCCCAGGCTGGCCTTGAACTCATAGTGACCCTCCTGCCTCAGGCTCCAAAGAGCTGGGATTGCAGAGTGCTCCACCACACTGCCTTCAATCCGCTAACTTTCACAGCCCAGCCCTTCCCCTTGATTTGCAATTTGCACCGAGCTGACCCCACCCTGTGCACCCTCGCTTGCGGACCCCCAGCGCGCCGCTCACCTCCACCAGTTGGTGCCAGTGCTCCACCGGCTTGCGCGGGTTGGCCAGCATCTCAGCCCAATGCTCGCGGCCATGGGGGTCGGCGGCCTCGGGGCCCACGCGGCACACGCCGATCACCTCGTTGTGCCCAATGCTGAAGGGTGGGGTGGTGAGAACCGGGGGACGGGGCCCCACCCCACCCCCGCCCGCCCCTGAGCTCACCCGCCTCACCAGTCGTAATCCACCACGGCGATGCTGAGCCCCACGTTCTCCACGCTTTCAGGGGCCACGTCGAACACCAGCGCCTCATTGTAAGTGGGGTTCAGCGTATTCTTCTTGATGGAGGTTTTGCGCTTTTTTAGACGCCGCCCTTCGCTGATCAGAGAGGCCTTCACATAGGGGTCTGGTAGTGGGAAGGAGTCGCTGAAGGCGGCCACCTCACTCAGACGGGGGCTCCGCGCCCCCCACCTCCCCCGCGCCTGCACCCCTCACTCACCCGAGAAGCCTGTGAGGTCCATCGCTTTGAGGTTAGAGGCCTTAATGATGGTCACCGTGAGGCGCCCGGCCGTGGGGAGGTAGCAGAGGGAGAAGTTGAGCTCCCCAAGGTCTGCCTTTTCCTGCGGTGGGGAGGGGGGTGCTCAGGGACTGGGCCCCTGCCAGCCAGCTGTCTCCTCCCCAACTGAGCCCCTCCCTGGCCTGGGGCTCCCTTCTATCCCCGGCCACTTAACAATCTTGAGTGTGGGCCAAGGCCCTGTAGCTCCTGGGACACAGCTGCTGAGACTGTCAAAGCCCATTTGTTCTGCAGGAAGTGGTGGTGGGGGGGAGACAGAGAGAGGCAGGCAGAGACAGACAGACACAGAGACAGAGAGACACAGACATGGAGACAGATAGAGACAGAAACAGCAGACACAGAGAGACACAGAGACAGAGACAGACTGAGAAGGCCCCACGCTTTCCCTTCACTCAGTGTCCCCATCGCCTCCTCGGCCTTCAAGGCTTGTGGTCACCTTGTCCCACAAGTTCCTGGGTCCCCACACCCCTGAGCAAGTACCCTTTTTGGCTCCCATAACCCCGACCCTGCAGTTGGTGCTGGGATGGAGACCTGCAGCTCCCTGGGGACCTTCCGGTTGCAGGACTGAGTGAGTGAATGAAGGAATGGGGACGCCCTCAAATGACAAGGATAGGGGACAGTGCGAATGCGAAGGACCAGGCACAGGGAGGCCAGCTGGACACAGAGAGGACAGATGGGAAACAGGCTGGGAGCAAGTCCCCTCCTGATATGAGGGCCAGGCTCGCTGCGTCCCCTCAGCCTCCCAGCCCTGCAAGGACAGAATGCTTGGTAATCCCTGGGTCAGGACTGGGGTGTAAGGAGCTGGCGGTCTGAGGCTTGGGGCTCCCAGAAAGGCTAAGGAGGGGCTGGGGCATAACCTGCCAGAAGAGGGTCATGAGAAATGCGGACAAGGCTGCTGGAGGTGGGGGTCTTGGGCCCCACAATCGGGACACTTCAGGATGAGTGGGACACCCTGGACACAAAGGCTCACAGGATTCAGGGAAGGCAGCCACGGAGAACCCAGAGATAGGATAAGAAAGCTTCACAAGGTCATGGGTTTACAAAATTTCGAAGTTCAGAGACCAGAGAAAGCTGCACTTGAAAGAGACCAGAAGTTGGGACGGGAGGTTGGAAGGCAGAGGAAGAGGGGAAAGCGAGGCTAACAGCCAGAAATCACAGGTCAAAGGCACACATCACCAGGTCATGGCCGGAAGTCATCCAGTGTCAAGGGGGTGGGTGTGGGCTGTAGGGAAATGGGGGACCCAGTGCTGAGCCTAACAGGTGGCCGGGCTGGAGGGCCAGGGCCCGTCATGACTCCCGATTCTGGCTCGAACACTTGCAGTGTCATCCAGGGACTCTCCAGGGGGAGGAGGTTCCAAGGTCCCCAGGCACAAACTGAGGGGTGAGGGTGGGGGGTGGGAAGCAAGGTGCATGGGGGGTCGCCAGGGCCCAGGGACACTGACCGAGCCGCCCTCCATGATGTCCCTCCAGAGCGGGCGGTCGGGAGGCTGCTCGGCCAGCTCCAGGAGGTTGTCCAGCACCACCTGGCCGATGAGGTCGTGCCGGGAGAAGCGGTCGAAGTCGTAGACGCTGAAGTGCAGCTTGCGCTGGGACAGCTCCGCCAGGGGCACTGAGAACTGGAACGTCTCATTGAAGACAGGGTTCAAGGTCTTCCTGTGCACCTGCGGGGGTGGAGGAGAGGACCCGTCCAGACCCCATGGCCTCCCCAGTCCCTCCCCCAGGACCCAGAGGCCTGGTGTCTAGCCCCTCCAGAGTCTGGCCCGGGTCCCCTGATGTCCAGCTGCCGCCCTGGACCTTGGTCTGAAATTTCTTCTTGCGGTCGGGCAGCAGGTAGATCTTCACATAGGGGTCTGAGAAGCCATTGGAGTCTTTGGCCGGGAGGTCCAAGGCCTGCAGTATCCTCACCACCAGCTGGTCAGAGCCGTAGAGGTACCGCAGGGCAAAGCTGATGCGGCCACAGGGGGTCCCTGCCTCACCCGAGCCCCCGCCGCCCCTGCGGCCGCCGGGCCCTGTCCCCTGGTACAGCTCGGGCTTGATCTGCCCGATGAGTTTGGCCTTCTCCTCGCCGCCAGGCAGGGGCAGGGGCAGGGCGGGTGGCCGCTCCTCGCTGCTAGGGTCGGGCTGCGTGGTCAGGGTCTGCTGTGTGAGGGGTCGTGGCAGGGCCGGGTACCTGTGCAGAGGGGAGACCAAGGTGGGGTCCTGGCTCTGATCTCTACCTACCCTTTCTCATCCCCAGCCCTGGGGCCACTCATCCCCTCCTTTGCCTCAGTGGACCTAGAACGCCCCCCTTGTGCATGCTGAGCCTCAGTTTCCCCACTGGTGCCTGGAAAGAGGAGTTAGTTCCACTTCTAAGCTCCCTCCAGCCCAGCCCATTCAGGCATCAGCTCCTGGGAGCCTGCAGACCTCAGACTGGTGACCCAAGATGACCTCTTCCACCCAGTGGGGGCCCCCAAGCCTCTGTCTCCCTCTCCATCTCCCCAGCCTGCCCCAGCCTCTTGACTGCTGCCACCCTGGTCCCAGCTGAGGCCGGTCCTTCCCACCTGGCCTCCTGTCTCTCCCTCCTGTCATCCACAGATGGCCACAGAGGAGTCCTTCTATGCAGGTGTTCTTGGCCTGCCACCCGGGGCCTGGACTGGGCCAAGGTCCTCAGCCTGCATCTCCCATTTTCTGCTTGCAATCTTCCTCTTCTGCCCTCATGCCTGGCTGCCCCCACAGGGCCCTGCGCCCTGCCTCTGCACCCCTGGTCCCTCTCCGCACACCTCCCTGCCTGGTTGACTCCCCAGGTCTCTCCCAAGCCCCTTCAACACCAGCCTGAGCTGCGCCACAGGAGGACCTCCTGGGGACCCCCGTCGTTCCCTGAGCTGCTTTTCTGCCTCCCTGCATCCCCGAGACCGTGAGAGCTGTGCAGCTGCAGCCCAGGGGCTTCCCGGCACACTGGTACTAGGTTTTCAGGGTACCCGAGCACACGAATAAGGGCAGACGGACTGTAGGGCCTCACTGCTAGTCTTGGCTCAGAGTGTCAGGGATGTAGGCACCCACAGGCCCCTTTTCCCCAGCCCCATCCTCTCAGTTCTGGCAGTCTGGGGCTCCTGCCTGCTCATGCTCCAGGATCTGGGGCTGTGTCCCCATCTCCCTCCTGCACAGAACTCAGGAGAACCTGAGACGGGGAAAGACACAGATGGACACAGATGTTTGGAGTGGACCCCGGCCCCATCTCACCTGGTGCCGGGTGCGAGGCTTGTGACTTGCTGATGCGACTGGGCGCTGGGCAAGCCGCCCCCGCTGGGTGGCAGCAGCAGCAGCCCAGAGCCCGCCCCGGCCTCAGAGGGCAGCTCAGGAGAGGTCTGGCTCGGCTTGACTCCGGCAGCCACCACAGCAGCGGCTGCAGCCTCAGGATATGAGTCCATGTCCAAGTAGGAGGGCTCAGGGGGGTCGGAGCCCCCCAGGCCACCTGGCTCCAGCAGCTCCGCAAAGGGTGGGTGATGGGCAGCGTGAGCATGGTGGTGGGGGCCACCCAGCAGAGGGTGGCCACCCAGGCTGGCCCCCAGATGCCCTCCGCCACCCACCAGGCCCGCCAGCCCCACCCCAGGGCCCAGGTCTTTGCGCAGAGGGCCGCCGCCCACTGCCGAGCCCCCCTTATCCCTCCAGGGCACCCAGCACAACTTCCAGGACACGAAGAGAGAGACGCCCAGGAGGACAATGCCACAGAACGTCACGATGACCGACAGCAGACTCACGGAAATGTCTGGAAAGAGTGAGGACAGAGGTCAGGGGTCAGGGTGGCTCAGTTGTCTTCTGAGGGCCAATCCCAGTTGCTGGCATGGATCATCCCGGGCACTCTGATACAGGACTAAAACTCCGCAACCCTCTGGGGAGGTGTTTCCTAAAACTGCTTTAAAGAAATTGTGAGGCTGTTGGGCCCTGCACATGATAGGCGACAGGTGCGATATTTGAATCTGTGGTCTGCTCCAGATTTTACTTTTTTCCTTTTTCCCAGTACTGGGGATTGATTGTAAGGCTTTCCCACTGCGTTACATCCCCAGCCCTTTTTATTTTTTAAGACAGAGTCTCACTAAGTTACCAAATTGCCTGGCCCAGGTTTGAACTCATCCTCCCAGAGACTGGGATTACAGACATGTACCCAGTCAGATTTTACTCTTAATCCTTAGCCCACTCAATTTCTCTGAAGGAGGACACAATGTCCGAGGTAGAGCCAAGCACCCCCAGCCCACCACCCCACCTCAGCAATAACCCAGGAAGCATGGACACTGTGAAGCGGGTTAGAACTCAGCTTGCTGTACGGTCTCAGGAGCCCATCGTAACCACTGCAAGCCTTACATTCTCTCCTAATATGAACTATCAGTCCTTTCCTCAGGTATAGTGGGATGCAGAAGGCGCACGGCTTAAGGGATAGAATTCCATTTTCCATGGAAATAAACTGAGGTCAACAGACACAATATCATCTGCCCAAGGTGCACAGCTGGAGATTGGTGGGGACCTGACCTCTGTTGTGGGGCTGTTATGATGCCTCGGTCCTTCCTAGTGAGTAGCAGTTCAAATGTGACTTGAAATTAGAATGACCAGCCTCATTGTGCCAGCCTCATCACCAGCGGTCCCCAAATGCCCATGATGTGTGGCCCTGCCTGGCAGAGAACCTTGCTTGGCCCCATTCTGCAGCCCAAGGTTGGGGCTCATTCAGTGATTGGTACCAGGAGTGGGGTTCCAGAATGATGCTCAAGGAAAGGCACATTTGTTTGGGACATGGCTCCTGGTCCAGGACGGGAGAAGAGTGGGACTGTGTTCCAGCCAGGCCGTGAGCCATGGTGGGGATGCCAGGGCCCTGCCCAGGCCAGCAGGGGTGACGCTGTGTTCAGGGATGCTCACCCTCTGGGTCCACACTGGTCAGTGCATAACATCAACCCTCAGACATTGTAACTAGGGAGGACTCATCCCATTTCATGAAAAAGCTGGGATTTTGAGACAGAGAAAGTGACCTCGGGCTGGAGAGATGGCTCAGTGGTCTAAAGCACCTACTTA